GAGGGGGGAGGGGAGGGAGAACAGAAGGAAGAAATGGCTCTGGGCCCTAGGAAAGAAGCCCAGGACTCAAGCACTAACTCAGGAAGTGGGGAGGAGGAATATGCAGACAACAGGCAGGTACAGAAACTGAACACCAGGACCCCTTCCTGGGAGCCAGGCTCTCAGGGCTAGCCCCAGCAGGGAGGACAGGCCTGCATAGAGACCCGCTCGGCCTCCCTCCGGCTCAGTTCAGAGCCAGGGGCTGCTCCCTGCCCTTCCCCCACTCCACCCAGCCCCAAACCTCAGAGCCACCCACCCGGCCTCTGGACAGGGGCCTGAAAACTGAGCACTGCAGATTCATCAGATTTTCCAGGCTGCGTGTGAGTGTGTGTGTGTGTGTGTGTGTGTACATGCACGCATGTGTTCTTTCAAAGGGGAGGGGGGGGAGGGGGGGTGCAGAGAGCAACTGGGGAAGCTGATACAAAAGGACAAGGTCCCCGTCTGGCCAAGAGGTGGGGGAAACATCCTCCCCTGCTCCCCTCCCCCATCCCACCTCACCTGGGGCACCTCACTCTGCTCTTACTAGCAGAGTCTCAGTCAGCAGCAGCACAGGGGAGAAGTGGGGTGGAAACATCCTAATTCAGAATCTAAGTCGAAGAGCTGTGGCAAGACATGGTTGTAGGTAAGGGGGGGCGGGTCTTAAACCCTGCCTGAGAGGCCCCACAGAAGAGGAGCCTGCTGGGGACAGCATAGACTCCGTAGCTAGTTCTGTGGACAGTCCAGGAGGAGGCACCTGGCCATAGAAAGCACACCTGCCAGGCCCCCCGCCAGCCTTGCTGATGGAAGGGGGGTGCTCCAGAAAGGGGGTAGAGAGGATCTGACAGATAAGATCCAGCCTCCCCAGCCCAAGCCTCTCCATTCAGCAAAAAAGTACCACAAGGGCTGTGTCTCCTGCCCGGCAACCACTCTCACAGACAAACCCACATCCTCTCCCTAGAGAACCCCCGGGGTCCTCCTGAGGTCTCAAAGCACCTTACTGATTCCTTCTGGAGAGAGCCAGCCGGGAGGCAGAGGAGGGCAAGAGACAGGTCCAGGCATCCTGATTCCCAAATGTGAGCCAGCCCGGTCTCTCCCCGCGGCTGCCCCACACGGCTCCCTTCCGGTCCTCCCCCTCCGCTCCCATGGCCTGTAGCTAGGCCTTGGGCACCCCCACAACAGGGGAAGCTAATCACCAGGCGGGAGAGGGGTAGGATGGATCCGGACAGCCAAGTCTCCCACTCTTCCTCCCACGCCCTGGGGAAGGTCGCCAGGGAGGGGCAGACCTAGATTCCCCTGACCAGGCTGTGGGACAGCAGCAGGGGGCTGGAGGCAGCGGATTGGTGAGGGTGGGCATGGGTGCGCTGGCGGCCTGGGCACGTGTGTGGAGGGACACGCTGTGTGCATGTGTGTGTGCATGAGCCGGGAGGGTGCACATACCTATCTGGATGAATGTGCACGTGTGGGCATCTGCGTGTACATGGGGGTGTCCAGGGACATCGTGGAGGGGGAGAGGGACAGGAAGGTCCCTGGAAGAAAGGACCATGTTGTACAATAGATGTCCATCTCACCAGCTCTGGCCTTGGGAGAGAGGGAGGGACTCTCTTCCGTCCTAGAGTCCCTCCTACAAGGGACCTGAGTTCCAGCAAGCGGGCAAAGAATGGGGCTCTTTCCTGCATCTCAGGCAGGCCAGCCTTGGCTCCCCACGTCCTTCGGCCAGGGGGCGTGAGGTATGGGAAAGTCCCCTTCACCAACAGGTCCCCAAAAGGTGTCAGGGAAAGTGGGTCGGGCGGGGGATGAGCTTCCGGGATGGCCGGCACAGAGGCAGGGCCCCGGGGCAGGCCCGGTGGGTTTCGTCTTCCTTCAGACTTCACACCAGCGGGCCCAGATCACTGCCACGCTGCCAAAAGCAATAGTCTGGCCCACTCACCCAGGGTCTCTCCTGCAGTGCCTCCCTGCTCCTCCTGGGATGAGGCCTCCCAGCTCCTAGCTCACTGCGTCTCTGTCTCCCCCACACAGCCAGGGGCAAGCGGGAGCCTGTTAACACTGGGGCGGAAGCAGGCCTAGGCTGGCCCAGGATTTGGGGGCGGTGTGGGGGAGGACCTACGATCCTAGGGCTTGAGAGAGGAATGAAGAGGGCTAGGGAGGGGAGCAAGACATGTGGAGTGCACGGGACCCCGGAGTCCTGGCCCCCAGCAGCAGGCCCTGGGCCCAAGGTCCTCCCCTTGGGAATTTTACAGGGTGGCAGGCTTTGACTCTGGAGCTTGCAGCAGCTCGGCCTGCTCCCCAGGTGCTGCCGGGGAGCAAGAAGCTCTGGGAATTCCAGACACAGCTGCCCCTCCAAGGGGCTTCTGACACTGGGGACAGCAAGTGGTGACTGGCAGCCCTGGGGTTGGCAAATGGCGAGAGGAGCGGGGCATGTGCCCAGGCAGCTCTGTCCCTGCAGACTAGCTGGAGAAAGGGAGCAGTCAGGAGGAAGGGGGTCTGGGAGAGAGGGGACATGGATCCTCCCTCCAGACACTACTCCCCTGGCCGGCTTCTCCGGCTGACAGCTCCTGAGCCCTTCAGAGGCCCAGCCCCATTTGATGGATCAGAGAGGTGCCAGGATCCTCCACCTGGGAAGGGAGGAGCCTGATGTGGAGACTGAGACTCAGGGATATTCAGTAACTCACCCAGGGTCACACAGCTAATGGGCCACAGTTTAGATTCATTGCACGTGGGTCTTTTTGGCTTTCAACTATTGCTGTGCTTTCTTTGGAGTCAAGGGTGGCCGGAACCTAAATCCCAGCTCTGGAAGGCAAATCAGCTACTGGAAAGATGAAGGCTTGAGAGCTGTCTGGGGCTGTTCCACCCCAGGAATGAGGAAGGTTCTGGGGGCAGAGGAGTCACTTCCAGGGAACCCTGGGCCTTTCCCCATTCCAGCAGCCTGGCCAGTCTGGGGAGGAGCTGCTGCAGGGCATCTTGTCCCATCCGAGGCTCATGGGTGGTACGCTCACCCCTTCTGAGCTCTAGCCCCACACCTCCATGGATGTCCAGGCATTTCTAAAGCAGAAGGGAGAGAAGGGGCAGGAGGAAAGGAGTGACTATATCCCCCCAACCCCAAACACACCCAAAGGGAACTGAGAGATCCTCAGGGTCTTGCCTAATGCCATCGCCTCCACCCCCACCCCCAACTACCTCTCCCAACTCCTGGCCCCCAGCTTCCTTGCTCTTCACCCAAGAGCTCAGCTTCCCGCTCTTCAAACTGCTGCTGGGCCCAGCCTTGGGAGGGTAGAGGGCGCGCTCACGGCCCACCATGGGGCTCAGACCCTGGAAACCTGGTAGAAACCTGGAGGCACTGGTGGACCAGTTGGGGGAAGGCTTTGCCTGCTTCCTCCTCCCCCCCCCTGTGGTATCCTAGCTTCCTGTTCTTGATAACAATCAACAGCTTGGCCCCACGGGGGTGGCCCTCTTTCTGATCCCCTCCTGCCCCCTTCTTTGATCCCCAGGCCCCACGATCCATTCGTGGAGATACTGGTAGGTTTGGGGGAGCAGTTGAGGCAGAAGCCAGCCTCAGGTCACTTCCCACCGATTTACCAGGGATTCCCAGGCTATCCTGCCCCCACCTCCAGCCTGTTCTGGGTACCAGGGCTGACTACTACTCCAGCCCCTCCTTTCAGGGAAACCCCACCCACTCCCCAGAGTGAAGAAGGGTCCAGGACCAGCTGGCCCAGGAGGGGTTCAGAAAGGACCCGGCCCCTGGTCCCCCACCCCCACTTCCAGAAGCAACAACAGGCACTGGGAGGCCTCCCAAGCTCCAAAGGGTCATCCTGGTCTCCGTCCCACCCCTCCTCCCCCACGGGCCAGCAGCCGAGGCCAGCACCCTCCCCAACACCCCTCCCATGTGCGCACCCCCTGTGTCTATTGTAAATCATTTCTTTTTTGCTGTCACCATTTGACAGCTGAATCAGAGAAGTGGGAGGAAGAGAGAGGACGGGGATTGCGCGTGTTGGGGCCGGGAAGGGAAGGGTGTTTGGAATGTTACAAGGTAGAAGAAGCTGTGCCGCGAGCATGAACCGGCCGGGCTGCTGGCCAGCAAGGGGCCTGCCAAGGCGAGGCAGGGGTGGGGGGCAGTGGAGTCTTGGATGCGGGGGCCACTTTCTAGGCCCCAGGCATCCAGGCACCCCAGAAGCAGAGAAGACGTGGGAGTCCCCCTGGTGTGAGGGCCAGAGACTGTCCGCTGTCTGTAAGTCTTCTAAATAGATGTCAGGATTCTGGGAGGAAGCCTGGAGGGGCTGGGGGCAGGGAGAAAGAGCCCCAGACTCTCCTACAAGCTGTCTCTACTATCTACTTCCTGGCTGGCTGGTCCATCTCCAACCACAGGTAGCTGACAGCTGGGGTGTGGCTCAAGTTCTGGGGATGACCCTTCTGGTCTGGCCTGGGCCTTTCTTCCCCATCGTGGAGCAAGGATTCCTGCCTCCTTCTTCCCTCACCCCACCCCAAGTCCGCACCCACCTCTGCTTTGAGAAGGTGCAACCTGGACCTGATCATGAACTCGCAAGGCTTGAAGGGACAAGGGCTTCCAGGACCAGGGCTTTGAGGCAGAAGTCAGTCTCTGGACAGGGCCAGCTTGAGCAGGAACAGCTTGGGGTTTCTGTGTGGGACAGCGTGGAGCTGGGGGTCAGCTGAGCTCTGCCTGGTAAGCAGGCAGAGACTGGATGTGACAAATACCCAGAGGACAAGCAGTCCAGGGAGCAAGGGGGTTTGGGAGCTAGGGAAACCAGGGTGGTCAGGAACAGGCCGGCCTCTCCCTCTCCATCCCCACAGAGCAGGGCCTTAGGCCCATGGCAAAAGTGCTGGGCCATAGCCAGGCCACCCCCAGAGGGGCGCAGGCAAGAGGCACCCGACCCCTGGTGGTGGCAGCGGGCGCAGGAGGGCAGCACGCCGCTGGGGTGTGCGTGGGTGGCAGCAAGGAGGGGCAGAGGGAGGAAGCTGGCTTCCTGAAGCCTCCTCAGCCCTCAAAGACAGACCAACAGACAGACAGACAGCTGGTAAGAGGCAGCCTGGGGGACACAGCTGCTTCAGTAAGTACCTGAATGGGGGGAGGAGGGGCCCTGTCTGTGGTCCTGGGGTGGTGTGAGCCTTGGGGAGGTGGGAGGGCATCTCCAAGGTGGGTGTGAGTGAGGCTACACTGGGAGCTGCAGGGCCTGGCTGGGGAATGGGCGCTGACCTAGCTGATATCCCCGAGGGGCACGGGCCAGGGGAGCCACAGGGGGGCTGCAAGGACAGCAAAGGCCAACCACCCCCTTCCTGCTTCGTGAGAGCTTCTCTCTACCACCCACATCCGCACGGGGCCCACTCTGTCCCCTCACCTCTGTGCCTCCCTGCGGGCTTAGCAACTCTCACACCGCCCCCACCCGTCAGAAGCTGTGACCTGGCTCTGGAAGATAGGGACTGTCCCCCAAGAGGACATGGGCCCCACCACCTCCTTGCCCCCTCTTGTGCCCCCAGCTGTCGCCTCACCATGCGCTGCCGCTCAAGGGCTTGGTGAGGCCATTTCCTGTGACGGTTACAGAGGCGGGAGATGGGGGGATGGGCAGAGGAAGAAGGAAACACCCCCCCCCCAGCCTACCTCCCTGGACAGAGACCCCAGAAGCCAGAATGAACTTGGGCACTGCCAGCAGTTAGGATAGGGTCTACAAGGGTCCCCAACTGGCTCCAATGCTGCGAGAGGCCTCAACCCTCTCATTTCAGAGAAGGCCCGGACTAGAGGTGGTTTCTGTGAGCTTTCTCTCTCCCTTCTACACAGAACGCGTCGTTTCTGTTTCCTCCCTTGCCTTCTTGCGCCTGGGCCCCAGCTGAGAGCCCTCTGTACTCTGGCCTCGGGCAGCCTCTTCTCCCCTCTCTCCCTCCTTCTGGAGTCTTTCCTGC